AACGTTTTAGACTGAATATCTCATGTTTCTTGTGCTGGTTTCTTCAACTAAGGCTAGTAGAGACTTTTATCTTCTCCAGAGATGCCATCTGTTATTTTATCTTTGTCTGTTCATATCCTAAAGGCACACACGCACCATCAAGGGAAAAGTCTGCTGAGGCGAGAAATAAAAGGAAGGGAGGTGAAGCTTAGCACATCTCAAAGTTATAAACCGTAGGTGCTCTGGCAACCAAAAAGGGTTTTTCAGGGATGGGAGGGAACCTGTAGAAAGGGGGGAGTAAACAATGCAGGTGTCAGTTGGGGCGTGGCTTGAGACCCAGTGCGTGCACACAAATAAACACACATACACACACATAAACACATACATACACACACACACATACATACATACATACATACACACAGTCAATCGGGTTTACTTGATATTCAGTCAAAGACAGCCATTTTTTGTCCCTTCAATACGACCGATTCCATCAATGTCGTCGAAGATTAAACAAGTTTGATTTCCAAAGTCATGGTCGAATTTCGTTGACTTCGGTGGCATGTGGCCAAAATGGCAGCTTTTGTCACGTCAATGACTGAATCAACGATGACGTAACGAGCGGTGTCGTTGCCACGCTGTTCAAAGATACTAAGCCCAGAAAACTTTTTTTTTCAAACAGAGAAAGGAAAAAAGAAACTGTTGTTGTTTTTTCTGTACCTATATTATACTGTATCTTTCCTTGCTGTTTCCAATATTTAGAATTTGACGAAATATTTCTGAAACACATACACAAACTATACAACCAGTTAAGAAACTGCAATAAGAAATTTACAAGATAGAATTACATTACAAGTTGAGGCTAGTACATCAGAACAGCGGGCCCACGATAAGCAGATGAGGGAAACCCCAACAACAACAACAACAACAACCACCAAACCCCACCCTAGACTACACTGCGCTCAACAAAACTAACGCCCACACATTCTAAGCAATTAACAACTTATACATCCATAATTAGAAAACAAGCCGTGACGGTTTGGGGTAGCCAACTGGTGTCTACCTGCATGCTCTGTGAGACTCATAGACCTCAACGACAATGTCCGACAGGCCCGGCACTGTAACGGACATTGCTCTTGGCTTTGTATCACTATAACAGACATTGCTTTGTATCACTATAACGGACATTGCTTTGTATCACTATAACGGACATTGCTTTGTATCACTATAACGGACATTGCTCTTTGCTTGGCTTTGTATCACTATAACGGACATTGCTTTGTATCACTATATATCACTATAACACATTGCTTTGTATCACTATAACAGACATTGCTTTGTATCACTATAACAGACATTGCTTTGCATCACTATAACGGACATTGCTTTGTATCACTATAACAGACATTGCTTTGTATCACTATAACAGACATTGCTTTGCATCACTATAACGGACATTGCTTTGTATCACTATAACGGACATTGCTTTATATCATTATAACGGACATTGCTCTTGGCGTTGTATACATTAACTTTGCTGCACTGCTGCACAACATGAGCATGTAAACAAAGGGCAAAAGAACGGCCTCGCTATAGTTGAGTGCACACGCAGCCTTTCCCTCCCTGCCCGCCATTTGGGTCCAAATACAGTCACAAATACAGTCACAAATACAGTCACAAACACAGTCACAAATACAGTCACAAATACAGTCACATATACAGTCACAAATACAGTCAAATCGTGTGCTCAGTGGTGTTCCAGAATTACATCAGAAAGCACAGTCTTGGATATCACAATACAAAACAGTGAGGTTTTTGTACAATTTTTTTCTCCAGATTTTCTCACCCAGCCTCTGACAGCTTCAAACAGTTCACAACAAAGAAAGGCATTTTGTGCAATCGTTTCTCTTTGGAAATAGAAACTAACAACCACTTGCTCAAACAACAAAGAACAGTTGGGAAAAGAATGGAGAGAAAACCCTTCTATCAAATGTTAAAATCCTGCAACATACACCCTCCAAGGAATAACTTATACTGATACTACCTTTGTTATTGTCTTCGTTAGAACAATATTTTTTTCCACCACATAGAGTATTTACCTGTGAACTCAGTTTCTGCTGTGAAGTCTATTCATCCAAGACACACTACGATTCTGATTAACGAAGAGATAATTTATTTCCTTTTTTGGTTATTTTTGGATTAGAGAGTAGACAGACACTGAGGACATAACCCAAGATGTCAGCCCAGCAGTGTCAGTGAAACAGTTACACACGCCCACAGTTGTGTCGTTTAGTACATCATACAATATCCATCACACACAAAGAAAAGTGATTAAACAAAAAAAAAAAAGGTTGCTTCTATACAATAAAGACAAAAACTTCAAAAAAAAAAGAAAGAAAAAAAAGAGACAGACACTGATCTCTCTACTTACACTATCATTCTAATCTCTTTACTTTGAGTACAGAACTTTTCTACACACAACTTTCCTAAGAATGGAAGGAGAAAATGCAAAAGCATTATTAGCATAATAATTATGGCAGTAAAAATGAAGGTAAAAGAAATGTGAGAGACATACGGAATGCTTTAGAGCGTCTACTCTTTGTCAAATTTCCTCGGCATGCAAAACATTAAAATGGCTAATACGCAAAGTTTGAAACCTTCTGTTAGTTGTTTTTAAAATCTATACATATAATATTCAAGTTTGGGTGGCAAGATAACAGTGGACTGCTGAGATGTGAACATGCAACATTTTCAGCGAAGCTTGCCCTTAAATACACGTAGTTGTCAGGAAACCATCACCCAAAACAGAGCCTTTGAGGATAAAATATACATTAAAAACTATACAAAGATAAACTTTACTATAGCTATAATATTGAGAAAAAAACAGAGTAAGTCTTGATTGAATTATTTTAATTATAAAGTAAAATTAGTCCACTGAAACAATGGAAAACCTTTCAGAAGGAAAAAAAGTAAGAAAATGTATCAAAATGTGTTACAATATTTGTAAACTGCAGCAAATGTCATCATTAAATGCAAAAATAGAAGAATGCTACTAATGGTGGACTAGTGAGTCAAATGACAGTCAGTTCCCAAAACATACACACAAACAAACACACACACACAAACACACAGTGAAGAGTGAAACACGAAAGAAAAGTTTTATTCAAGTAACAAATCCGACAGTGGTGAAGAAAAGGCAAACTGTGGTTCTCGGTGTAAGCAAAAACACACACACACACACACGCACACTGTGTGGCGAACAGCACAACTCCTCTACACCATTTGTTCATACCTACTAGTGGTTTAGCTCACTCAGAAGATCAAGATTTCTATCAAAATCCAAGGAAAAGGGACAATTAAGTCAGAATATTGAAAAGAGGGATCCATAAAGCGTATTTGAATAATTTTTATCTTTCCAAAAATCTTACACTCAAAAGAAAGAAAACAAAAAAGAAGAAAAATCTCATTCTCATGAAAAAGAAAAGAAGAAAAGACACTGTCTACAAATTCTTTCTGAAATGTCAAATGCATTATAATGAGAATGTTGTTCTACATTTGTTAACAAATATATGACTCCCACTGTTCTGAAGGCTGGGAGAATGTTTGTGCCAATAAATAATTGCTGCCTTTCTCATTTGCATTTTTTGGTTTTATTTCTTTAAAAATTGTTGTCCAAATATTCCCAAAGCTAATATAACATCAGTGGAAAAATTATTTCCTAATCTATATATAACATTTTTCCTGACCCAAATCCAGGCCACCTGCTCATTAACAAACTGGTTATACCCACAGGGAGGCCCACACTTCAGCGGGAACATTTACTGGTCTGTTATGTCCTTCATTACTATTCACGTGCCTGTGGGAACATTTACTGGTCTGTTATGTCCTTCATTACTATTCACTTGCCTGGGGCAAAAACTTATGCTTTAAGTAGAATTCTAAATTTCTATTTCGTGATCAGTCAAGTCACAACAGCAGACACCAAGTTCACTGACACATGTCCCGCGTTCGCGTGTAGTTTGATGGTTTTCCACAGCGAGCATGTCGTGTCGCAGATAGTCAGCAGTATAAGGGAAATAGAACACTGTAGAGAAGTAGAGCAAGCAAACTACCCCCTCGGGTGTATCCACCAACCATGCTCGGGGTCACACTGGTCGGAAATACATTTGAACAAGAAGAAGAACAAGAAGATAAAGAAGATGATAAAGAAGATAAAGAAGACCATAAAATAACTTGAGCCCTAAAGGGCAGGTCGAAAACTCCAAAGGAAACTAAGAAGAGGAAGCCTGAGAGAAACAATTTATTGGAACAGACATAGGACAAGGACAGGACTGCAACAGCCTGAGGGTCAATTGACCTGGAAGGCTGACTGTGAGTAATGAAAAGCTTTGACTGTCATGAACATTCACCACTCCGAAGTGGGAGGACAAGGAACAAACTGAAAACTTTGCAGAAACGCGACAAGCATTGGTCATACAGCTGCACCAGAAGCATCTAGTCCCAGTTTTTGGGGGTTGTTTTTTTTAGTTGGAGTTTGAAAAACCATTGGGTGTTAAAATGTAAAAATAAACTGGTGTTATGTAAACTGAAGAACTGTTTGCGTTACTGTAAGTCTTAACCCTTGCCACTATCTCAATAATGAGAACCACCCACAGTGTAAAACATGATCTGGACGGAATTTTGACAGTCCTCAAACTGAACGAAAAATCTGATAAAGCATCAGCATGTAAATAAGTAAACACAGAACAAGGGATAAATACAAGAGATAAACTCAGAAAAGATTCCTAACTTTGTAAAAGAAAACACCAAATCAGTGAAGCAAATACAAGTACAGAAAAAACCATGTAAAACCTCCATAAAAATGAATTCCAGATAGTATATGACATTGGTAATCTCATCATGTGTTTGGAAGATGAGGAATATTTACAGCTGCGTACAATTTGCATTTGCTAAAAAAAAAAGATTTTTAGCCATCAAGAAGAACAATCAAGAATTTCAAGGAGAACGAACAATGTACTTACTTGGCTCTCAGGATGCCGCTCCTAGTTTTGCGAGTTGGGTCGTTATCGGGAAAGCTTGACTTTGCCAGAATATCGTCAAACTGTTTGCGGGGTAGACCTGTGGCAAGGAACAAACCATGACATATCACAATGAATGATTCAATCTAGTGTAAATTTTTTACGCCCCAAAAGTAAAGACAAAAAGTTAACAAAGAGATGGCAGAAGAAATTAGTACACATAGGTGTATCTTGAAAAAATTGAGGGAAAAAATTCCAGCTCTCTATCAGAACAAGAGCACCAAGAAAAAACAAATCAACACAACACCACATGTATAATACTTAACAATATTGATTAAATTACTCGTCACAAGAACTAAGTTAAAGGACAGGGTACATTTTTCTCATAACTAGTCTCCAGAGCTGTGCACATAACAAGTGAAAGTAAGTGAATTTTGAAGTGCACCAGTGTGTCCAATTCAATTGTTCAAGGAGCCAAACTCAAAATTAATTATACTTAAATTTCCAGGCTGAACTGAATTACCACATTAAGCAATGAGTAACTAATCCTGTTTTTAAATAATAGTATAAATTAAAACAGACACAAGTCATAATGATCATCATTATAATAACAAATCAAGGCATACATAATTTCACTTTAAAGCCAATTTATTATGGCAGGATGTTGTCATTTCTTTTAGGCAAAAAGTTCATTTACGATTGAAGGAAAGTTCTGTGTTATCGAGATCCTCAGATTGGACTAGCTACAATTCTCTTGGGGGCCAAATATAATTGTTGAGGTTGACACCTGTGAGGTTGACACCTGTGAGGTTAACTGACTACAGCCGTTAGAAAAGTTCTACAGGAGACAGATGAAGTGCAAGAACATGTTTATCCTTATTGAAGGTGAAGAACTCATTCCCCCCCCCCCCCCATCCTCCCTCTTAGATAAGTTTTAAAAGTTTGGATGTTCTATTTAAATAAACCTAGCCCAAACATGGATGAACTCTTGTCAGTGTATTGGAGGATGAGAAGGAGAAGGAGGACGAGGACGAGGACGAGGAGGATGAGGAGGAAGAAGGAAGAAGAAGAAGAAGAAGAAGAAGGAAGAAGAAGAAGAAGAAGAAGAAGAAGAAGAAGAAGAAGAAGAAGAAGAAGAAAAAGAAGAAAAAGAAGAAGAAGAAGGTGATCATACCAGGCATGACGTAGCCAGAAACACCAGTCTGGCGGGTAGAGGCACTTCTGACCGGGGGCAGATCTCTGAGCCCTGTAGCGGTCAGAAAACAGACGGAGTAGAATCACACTTTTCTGCAATAAAACACCTTGTCTCTTGCCAATCTGCCCGCCTCAGTTGTTTGGGTTCAAAGACAAGTTTCTCTGTCATGTTCCCACCTTCAGTTTGGTCTCCCCATTCCTCTCATGCCTTCTACTTTTGCGCCCAGAATATGTTTCTCAGGCGAATCATAGTGTTTGATATGCCCCAAGAAGCTCAATTTCAATTTCATTACAGAAGACTTTTTGTGTTTCTATACCTCTATTCAAAACTGAACTGTGATTGAAATACATAATGAGTTCACTGAAAGACAGAAACAAATGCATGGGTAGGAGACTAAATTAAAATAAGCATGATAACAATAAACGTAGGTTGTGGGTTGAATTAAAAGTGAGCTAACAATCACTGATCTACTATACTATATCTATGGTACGTCTTTGCTAACAATGAGGGGTCCAGGCATATGGACACCAAAAAAAAAAAAATTTACTCTAAAACAAGGGGATGTAACAAGAAGGATAAAAAATGTTATAGTACTCATCATTTTTACTTCCCTTACCTACTACTCCCTCATAACCTCTCCACAACCTTAGTGTCGAAGCCTTCTATCCAACTGTCCCAGGAAAATATTCTACATGTCAATCAAAAGCAGTACAGAATTGTTTTTTCTTTTAATATCTTCAAAAACCTACACACACAGTCAGTACCCTGTGCTACCTAGCCAGAGGGGAAGTGAGGGTTACAAAAAGGCCAGGTGCTGTAAGGGTTAATGACCCAGAAAGTACTAAGTAAAAAGATATGAAAAGAAGACCTTTACCATAAAGAATCGAGATGATTAAAATTAAAACGACACTAAAAAAGAAGACATTTTAAAAAAGACCTACATCACTAAGAATGGAGATGACTGACATTAACAAATTACACCTTAACTCCCCCGGACCGCCGGGGAATTCCCTTGCGCGCGCCACCCTGACTCCCCTGGAAAGGCCCACGCCGACCTAGCGTCTTTAGAAACGAAGTCTCGCCTTGACGAGACTCTGGGGCTGAGATTTTGATTTGCATAGTTATTGCAAAAAGTTTCTTCTTTCGGTTGATACCAAAACTAAATTTTCCGGGCCAGTAGTTTTAGTGCTGATAGAAGTGCGATCGCGTTACCAACACTTCGTAGGTGTCTCGACTTGTTGAAAAGCAACACAATTGAGTTCGAAAAGGGAAATAAAGATGGATTTGAGCAAAAACAAACATAATATGACAAATCAGATGACTCAGATTTTGATGAAAACGTTGTAGCAAGAGTTTGGGGCGATTCAGATTGATCAGACGTAGAAAATCTAAAATTTAGATCTAGGGCCCGACCGCACGGCTGAGAATGAGAGTGACGGGTCGGACACCCCGATTGAACTAAAGTTAGAACAATTCCAACAGTTTGCGCATACACAAAGTTATATTTTTCAGAAACTACATTCATTATTCGTTTTAACTTTTATTTTTTCAGAATTTTTAGACTTTGTTTAGTATTTTTTTAAAGTGTTTTTTTAAACGCTTGTATTCACAGGAGGTGGGTTCTTTCCCCTTACTTGGGATCTAACAATGGACTTCCCGTCCGGGCCCTTAGGGTGTCATGTGTTAAGTCCGGGCCGTTAGGGTGTCATGTGTTAAGTCCGGGCCGTTAGGGTGTCATGTGTTAAGTCCGGGCCGTTAGGGTGTAATGTGTTAAGTCCGGGCCCTTAGGGTGTCATGTGTTAAAACGACACAAGGCTCTGGCCAAGGGGTCGGTGAAATAAACTTCCAAATAAAAGACGAACCATTAGTTGAGACAGCTGAGAAGGTGTCTTGTCGAGAGAGTTCATCCTGACCCTTCTTCCGGTGGATTTCTCGGCTGGCCTGCCAGTTCATGAGAAACTGACGAGTTGTGTCTGTGATGCTTTTGCCGTCTAATATCTCTGTACATAAAACAAAGGACAATACATATATCTCTGTACACAAAACAAAGGACAATACATATATCTCTGTACACAAAACAAAGAGCAATACATATATCTCTGTACACAAAACAAAGAACAATACATATATCTCTGTACACAAAACAAAGAGCAATACATATATCTCTGTACACAAAACAAAGGACAATACATATATCTCTGTACACAAAACAAAGAGCAATACATATATTCTCTGTACACAAAACAAAGAGCAATACATATACAAAACAAAGGACAATATGTAAATCTCTCCAGAGAAAACAAATGTAGCAATGCCAATGAAAATTTAATTTTTCACTTTAGCCCTAAACAACTTCTCGACACAGAACGTTCAAATTTGAGCACACTATAGAAGATAAATAGATCTATTACCATCTCGGCGTTGAAATTCAAACTCCTTATAGCTTTCGGTACACCCGATACGAAAGTGTTCCCGACACCAAAAATATAGGTTTATTTATATGTACGAACTTCAACATCCACATACCATTAAGTTTGCCCTATTTTCTGATTGGTTGCCGAGTTTCATTCACATTGGCTCAGAAATAGAGCAGACCGAGGTTGACAAAGTTAGTCACCTACGCTATGACCCGGTCCAAAAATTCACCCGTATATGGGGACCAAATTTTCGCCGCACGGGAAAGCCCGATTGGCATTGCAACAAATGTCAATACGTATATTATTATATGGTTACATCAGAGCTGTAAACAAACGACAATACGTATATTCTTTTACTTTAGTGCTGGTGACAAGAGATCTCCAGAAAAAGAAATTTTGGCAGTTGATTTACTTTTTCACTCTGGTGTTTCTAGACAAGTCATCATCCGTGGGTGGCTGGCGGCGCCACTGACACGTCCACCTTCTCTTCTCTCTCTCTCTTCTTTCTAGCTGTCCATCCTGTTTTTCTCTGGACTTATTGACCCTAATAATCAAGTCAATGTTTTATAGTCTTTGCTCACACTGAAAAAGAAAAACACTCACTACCCCAGGACAAAAAAAATGAGGAGTCCTGTAACACATACCACTGTGCTTTTCCACAGCAATAACTCAATCCTTGCACTTGTCACAGTGATGCAAAGTTTTTCCTCTCATCACTGACAACATTTTAGTGTTCCTAAATATTTCTATTTCCTCTCTTTGTATGTCAGAAGGAAAGATGCACAGAATGAAACAGCACGTACCGAGGTGTTTTCCCATGACAATAATCCGATCCTTGTACTTGGCACGCAGGCACACGGGGTTCCCGGCCAGGTCCAGCCGGCCCAGCCGGTGCCAGGCGGTCAGGAGGTGAGCCAGCTCCTTCATGTCGCTCAGCTGATTGTCCGTGGCCAGGAGCTGTGTGAGGCCGGGGAGCTGCTCCAACTCGCGGATACTGGTCAGGTTGTTGCCGGAGACGTTGAGCACTTGGAGACACGCCTGGGGGGAGAACAAGGAAAAGTTGGAGAAAACTAGGGCTAGGTAGTCCAGACATTTCTATTAGTGCCACCCTCAAACTACCTGTTAAAAAAGTAATACGTGTTTACGAATTCAACAGCTTGAATAGTACACCACACTAGTCAACCCTTTCTTATTCAACGGAACCGATAAAATAATACAGAGCAACCCGATTAGCACGCACGCACCTCATTATTCCCCACCTCAATGGTAACCTTGGCTAAGACAAAAATAGATTACTGACACCAAGCTGACCTCCTGGTTTTTTCCTTCTCAGAGACAAAAAAGTGTCAGAGACCATGTTAGCCGTCAGAATGTACTACTTTCACTTCCACTGAGCACAAAAAAGTTGGAAGTTGAGCTATTTACAGTCTAAGCTGTGGGATAACGTGAATGGGAAACTGTTGAGTCACAGAGACTGAGCTCAAACTGGACACTCACGGCCAGAGCTTTCACCGTCCGAGGATCAAACAGGAGCTGTTCTCCGGGTGGCAGACGTTGACTTTCCACATGCAGCTCCTGCAGCTGTTGTAGCTTCTCCAGGCCCTCTAAGACAGTGATGGTGTTGCCACCTATATACCTAGTAAAAAACCAAAGCAATATACACATTTTTACTTTTTCCCTCTTTCTCCTGATGGTTTTAACTGATTTTTTGTGTGTTTCTGTTTGGGTATAGCACCAACTGGCCACTAAAAGATTATTTCAAAGGCTGAGTACTTGCTCTGGTGTTTACAGTAAAGACGAAATAACGAAAAGGAGGAAAAAAATATCCACGAAAAGGAAAATATAGACATGAGCCCAACTCGTTCATCCCTTCCGCTCTGAAAACATAAAGCAACTCACAACTTTTGCAGACGTGTGAGGGCTGAGAGATTCTCGATGCGGCTGATGTTGTTGTTCTGCAGGTAGAGATGCGTAAGGCTCACGTTCTGGTTGAGTAGCGGCACTTTGTTGAGGACGTTGTCGTACAAGTACAGGACGGTCAGATTACGGCACAGGGACAGGTCCTCCCCCTGGGCAACACGACAGGAGGAACAACAATAACAACAACAATAGCAATAACAATAACAAATGTGACAATAACAAATGTGTCATAACAACAACAATAGCAAATGTGTAATAACAATAACAATGCAGCCTTTCTACTGCTACTCCTAGGCTCCTTCTTACTGCTGTCTTTCTACTACTACTCCTTGGCTCCTTCTTACTGCTGTCTTTCTACTGATACTCCTTGGCTCCTTACTGCTGTCTTTCAGCCACAACCCTGATCTTCTAGTAGAAAAGATCTACACCTAGCCCTCTCGGACAAGGGCGAAAAATCTTGGAGGTCCCGTGTGCAAGTTGCGCACGTTAAAGATCCCTTGGTGGTCTAAAACTGATAAGAGTAGGCTTCAGCCACTACACAGGCAAAATTCAAAATTACCTACCAAATGAAAATGTTTGGTGTGTCCTGCGCGCTCATATGACCTTATGCAGTTGAGAGCAGTGTAAAACACTTACCAAGAAAAAACAAGATAGTTTCAAAAGTGCCCACTCACAAACAATACAGCTCAAGGCACTTTACAATACTTCTATCTTAACTCAAAATGGATGGTTATAAACATGCATACATTCGCTCTTTACATTAATGCTAATACATATTTATAAACAGACGTTCATACTACCACAACCAATTCATGAGTCTGTACGTCCCATTTACCACGACAGACCACTACTATCAAAGTAAAGATCTATTCAAGCTCTGCAAGCAGTGGGTGAAATCAGTGCCAGCTTAGCCCTGCTTTGGTTCATAGACTAAATAAGGGGGCTCTCCTGGCCTAGAGGTTAAGGTGTTAGCCTCTCATTCAGAGGTCCCGGGTTCGAATCCGGGCAGTGACCGAAAAACTTTCTTATCTAAATTTGTCTCCTTTCACCCCATTCCCTGCTCTCTAGCAATGTTCTGTTGTCTGCTTTCGTCTCCTCTTTCTGCCCCCCACCCCCTCACCTCCTTTGCCCCTTCCTCTG